GATTCTTCCTCGCATTCGGCCAACTGTCATTTCTACTGACATATCCTTTTGATTGTTGTTGATATGTATATTCGGGCATGATGTTCTTGAAACTATGTTGGACAACGCGTGTGATAAATTTGTTCCACATAAATTTGTTTCCAGTTGTATAGTTGCCACGCTGAGTGTGGGTGTTGCGGGGGAGGGGGTTGAAAATGTATAATATTTGGAGGTGATGTGCTAGCTCCATCGCCTTTGGATTGCTAAGTGTATTGTGTAATCATCTGCATGGAAATATGGTTTTATCATTTTGTTTACATACTATCACAGTTATATGTATATTCTTTCATATCGCGAATCTGTTCGCATGTAATGTTTACAATGCATTTATTTGTGTACATAGCTTTGTTGTGCTTGTGATGTCTTTGTCATCCCCCAATTCTTCCTCGCACTCGGCTCACTGTTATTGTTCCCGACCTACGATTTTATCATTTTGTTCACATACTATCACAGATACATGTATATTCTTTCGTATATATTCTTTCATATCGCGAAGCTGTTTACATGTAATGTTTACAATGCATTTATGTGTGGCCGTGGAAGGCCGTTGTGGCGTTATGTGAGCCGGTGGAAGCCTATGGCCACCGGCTTCCGCGACTGTGTTGACTCGCTTAACGCGCTGATTGCCTGCAACTTATTGTACTGATATGTAACTTATCACTGATAATGTCTATGTAAGAGAAGAAACGTCTGAAATGTTACCTAAATGATTAATACAACTTTGTGCCGATTAATCGGGTTCATTGTCAGTCTTATTCAAACAAAGCCACGACCCTTCGAGCTTATTAGTCGCACTCACTTAGAATTATAAACATTGTTTTTCGCTATCCGCCCTCCCTTTGCCTTATTCTGCACATTTATTTACGTTTGTCTAGTGCCGTCAATAACGCTCACGGTGTACACACAGCTGGTCAATATGCATCATAGTTAGGAACCTATTAGACAATTGCAACTAGGTAGGCATGCGTCGATTCCGGTTCGCTTAGGCAGGATGGTATTACAACAGCAAAATTAAGTAAGTAGGTGTCGAGTCTGGCAGGCTGCCCTGTCCCCGCTCATTATTCTCCGTCCCATAGCAGTCTTCAAGGCGTGAGCTTAGGGAACCTTGTCCAGGCGTGGGAGCTGCGTTAGCTCGTAACATAGCTGGTGATCCGGGCGAGACTTGGTTCGCCGAGTCCTTGCTGGTGGCGCCGACATAGGTAGGTGGTTAGTGGAGAGGTAACATAAGCTCTGCCTGGAGACTGCTATTCCCCACCCTGTAGCCTTAATTAACCAATGAGGGGTTTACTGAACCTTAGGTAGGCTAAAAACGAAACGACATGAAGCAATCTATTCCAATTCCAACACTCAGAGATTGCATTTGTGCTTGCATGTCATTTTCCATTAAAAACAAAAAAAAAAACAAAAAAAAAAAACTTTCCGTGCTTGCATGTCTTGCATGTGTGCTTGCATGCCACCTTAAATTCATTTTTTAAAATATATATGTGCTTGCGTGTACGATTGCATGTGTGCTTCCGGCAGGGCTACGGAGTCGGAGTCGGAGTCGACAGATCTGCCCTGAGTCGAGTCGGAGTCTGAGTCGATTTTTGAAACCGGATCTGGAGTCGGAGTTGGAGTCACCGAAAATCAATCGACTCCGCTGTCCTGGCAGTGCTGCGGAGTCGGAGTCGGGAGTTGGAGTCGGTCGGAGTCGACAGTTCTGCGCGGAGTCGGAGTCGGGGTTGGAGTTGGTTTTTGAGAGTCGGAGTCAGAGTCGCCGAAAATCCATCGACTCCGCAGCCCTGGTGCTTCGCAGGGCTGCGGAGTCGGAGTCGGAGTCGACAGATCTGCCCGGAGTCGAGTCGGAGTCGGAGTTGATTTTGGAAACCGGATCTGGAGTCGGAGTTGGAGTCACCGAAAATCAATCGACTCCGCTGTCCTGGCAGTGCTGCGGAGTCGGAGTCGGGAGTTGGAGTCGGTCGGAGTCGACAGTTCTGCGCGGAGTCGGAGTCGGGGTCGGAGTTGGTTTTTGAAAGTCGGAGTCGGAGTCAGAGTCGCCGAAAATCCATCGACTCCGCAGCCCTGAGTCACATGCCATTTTCCACAAAAAAAAACTTCCGTGCTTGCATGCCACCCTCAAAAAATAAAAAAAAACTTACGTGCTTGCATGTACTGCATGTGTGCTCGCATGGTCTATTTGAGAATGCATGTACCTCATTTCTTCCTTAGTTAATTTTGTTGGTTATGACAGGTTTTGGGACGTCAATATCTTGGACTTTGGGCAAAAATGTACACTTGAACCAGTTCCATTTCTTTTGAAAGCTAATCCTAATTACGTCAAGAAACGTACAATGACCAGCTGCATCAGACTGTTATCTCCGTTCGGCTTTTGATCCCCCAATATAAACGTGTCAGTAATATAGGGCTGTTAAGTGATGACGTCACGGTTCCAACAGCTGACTGCGCTAATGTTGTAGAGATAGGCCAAACGATTCATAACTAAAATGCAAGAATTTGGGGACGTTTACCGATGTTATGTCATGTTTCAATAATGGAAATGGTATTAAGTTGTCATTTTGGTCGACTTAAATGCATTTATATTCATTGATTTGCACAAAAAACATGATTTTTTTGCACGGCTGCTAAATTAAAAAAACTTGTGCGATTTTGGCGCAGGTAAGACATTGCGCCATTACGTTTATAACACGGGCACCAATGGGCAAATGTACTAGCTGTGAATAGGTAGTGAATTGGAGTGGGTTATTAATTAGATATACCTACTGTGTTTCTCAGACCTCAGGTCAGCTATCACAAGACGCACGCTTGTTTTAAGCTTTGAACATCGAGATGGTGAATTGCTGTGTCCCAGGCTGTACGAACCGGTCAGGGGACAAAAACAAATATGCGTTCTACAGGTTTCCCAGCAACAAACTGATCCGTCAACGCTACATTCGTGCGATAAGGTTAGTAAGAATTTTGAGAATCAGCATATTTTACATGTCAAGCTTTCATAAATCCCATCATAAATCTTTTCCATAAATCGTGCAAGGGAAATATGGCATCTTACCTTTTAATAAAAACATCAAATTATTGTTAACTATTTCTATAAAAGCTATAGAGTATATAATATCAGATAATGATAAATATTTATTTTTGGCATCATTACGGAATGATTCACAAGGTTAACTCAGAGCCTTGATCGTCAATCACTTGTGCATGGTGCGTAGGTACTCCATAAATAGCAGTAACAGTAGTCATAGCACAAATATATTTACCAAGTCTGTTGTATGTTTTGGATATGAACATTGAAACATTTACATTTTGTAACATTCAAATTGAAAATTATTAATAAACTGGCAAGCTTCATTTCAGAAACAATCGCATGAACCTGTTTTTGTGGATATTTTCTACTTGAAGGGCTTGTAACTTGCGTCATCCTAATCATGCATGCCTAATCTAAATCATCATGTAATCCCTTTTTTCTGTTGCAGGAGGGAGAACTTCACCCCTACCGAACACACAAGGATCTGTTCGTGGCACTTCCCTAATGGCAAAAAAGCAGGTCCAGTGAGGTTTCCATGGAATGAAGGGAAGCGGATCAACTTGCCTGATGATACCAGACCCCATCACTCTTCTCCTGGAAACAGAAGACAAGATGCAGCTGTGGAAATGGAAGATGCTGTCCTTGGACCACCTGTGCATAGTGAGGCCATGTTGTCTGCCGAGAACGAGCTTCTCAAACAGCATATCAAACGACTTGAAACTGCAGCAGCTTATCAGCAGCAGAGGTTCTGCTACAACCAGATTAGCCATAGCGAACAGCTAGTAACTTACTATACTAGTTTGAGCAGAGCAATGTTTGAAACTCTAGTCACATATGTGAGCATGTGTGATTTTACATACCACACCTTCAAGGTCACAACGATGACATTAGAGGACCAAATTCTCCTGGTGTTGATGAAACTGCGACACAACTTTGGGCACACAGATCTAAGCGTGAGATTTAACAAGAGTGTAGCCACCGTTACAAATGTCTTCAGGACATTTGTGTCCATCTTCGCTGAGGCTCTGTTCAAGCCTATTTTTGGGAAGGGTATGCCTAGTAGAGAAAAGAATTCTCAATCTATGCCAGCATCGTTCAGGAAGTTCAGGCACTGCAGGACGACACTTGATTGCACAGAAATTAGGATTCAGCGACCTGATAGCTGTGAGGGCCGCTCAAGCACCTACAGTGCTTACAAAGCTGCCAACACCTTCAAGGTCATGGTTGGGGTGGCACCCAATGGCACTGTGAACTTTGTCAGTGACGTTTACGGCGGCAATGCCTCTGACAAGCACATCGTGGAGACTAGCGGCCTGTTGGAGCAGCTAACCACAGGCGACCTCATCCTGGCTGACAAAGGTTTTCCTATCAAGGACATTGTACCTGATGGCGTCACCGTCAACACACCTGCGTATCTATTTCAGCCTCAGTTCACCAAGCAAGAGGTGATGCACAACAGGGAAGTTGCCGAAGCCCGCGTGCACGTTGAGCGCGCGATTCAGCGGCTGAAGTATTACACCATTTTAGATGGCATACCCCACCAGTATAGGAATATGATAGACAATATAGTTCGTGTCTGTGCCTTCCTCACCACCGCCCAGAGCCCTATCATAAGCCACGAGAAACTTAGCAACATGTCCTCTTAAGCCGGGTAGCAAACTGCGCGTTATTAGTGGTATCACCCTGTTAGATGCAACGTTTGCGTAGTTATCAATTGAAGTAAGTCAATAGCATTGTCTGTGTTTTTCTCACCAACGCCCGGAGTACTATCGCGGGAAACTGTGCATTTTGTCCTAAACTGGTTTGCGAACTGTTTGATATGTCTTCACTGTCTGATGAAACACTTCTTGAGTTATAGCTGTCATGGAAGTATGATAATCTGGAAATTGTTTCAGCTGTGCGCTGTGGTACGCGACATTTACTTGTCAATAAAACTGTCCACAAACATGTATGTTTATTATTTGCATTATTTACACACAGTTTGACGTTTGAAAGTGAAACACGACAACCAGCCTGGCGCGCACCTGTACAGTGACACACATTTACTTACGCACCTGTACATTACACACAGTTTGACGTTTGAAAGTGAAACACGACAACCAGCCTGGCGCGCACCTGTACACATTACATCACAGTGGCAAATCTCATATCGCCCAGCAGGCATGAGCCCTGCGGGTTAAGCGGACCCGATGATGCTCGGCACCATGTGGACCCTATAGAACTGTTTTAGGAGTTCTAGGTTTACAGTCCATGAATCGCTTCTGGCGATGGTAACGATGTGTAAGTCACGAGTCGTCCAGACAACAAAGTCACACTTGGTGAAGCCACTTAACCACATCTGGCCCTGTACCTGGTGGAAGTAATCGTGATCTTCTTTAAGATTCAGGTTTTCGTCCAAGAAAAACTTTCCATCTGCTTGCACGGCTTCCTGGATCGTTCGACACCTGTGTGTCCACGGACACTTCACCTCTAGGAGTGTATCCCCCACTACACCATCTGGAGAGGCCCCAAGCATACCATCTTCAGAGAGAAAAATCCCATTCTCTTCCACCTTTTTTCCAGTGCGATTTTCATACGCTCGCTTTGCAGCTGCTTCGTGGGTTCGTCCCCATTTTACAGCTGCACTGCCGGATGGGTCATAGCCACCAAGGAGCCTTTTGAATAGTGACTTTGGGTATCTTCCTCTGGCAATTGCCTTCAAGACGAGGCCGAAGTTGCTCGATGTCAGCCTTCCCTTTCTAGCAACAAACCACTTGGGGTTTTTGACCTGACCACTGGTCACCCTCTGCACCTCTGCAATCTCTTCCTTTGAAAGAGACAGCATTGCTAAAAGGAAGTGGGACTTGTCAGCTGATGCATGAAACTCAGCACTAGTTAGGATGCTGTCGATGTTTGGTACCTTCTCTTCTGGGGAAGGCTGAGACTCTGGAGCCAACAGCCATGCCAGCCCACATGGCTGCTCCCTCACCTGGTCATACAGCCATGCCAGTTGGTCCTCTTTGACAGAGCTCACCAGCAAAGAACTGTCTTCCTGGGGGAACATCTCCTTTGCTTTCAACATTGTCGCGTTGCTGGATCCTCGGTTCCATTGACACTGCCGATCAGTCTGCGACCAGTTCTTCTGTGCATACAGAAGGATGGCAGCCATGTGGGAGCACCGATGCTGACCATTTGGGCATGTGCAGCTTCCATCCACTGGCTTCTTGTTCTCGACAGTGACCTGAAACACAGAATAACAACAATTTACACCTTTGCAGCAGGTAATCAGCAAGCCTTATTCAGATTTTTATTAAATACCTGCATGATATTTTTCTAACACATTAGTTCAAACCATATTCAATTAATATCAAAGTGGACGTTTCACTCAAGTGAAATGTTTATCATGAAAATAAGTTCACAAAATGAGCACAATTGATTGCAGCTGTTTATATTCATAGAACCTTCCAAATATGCATTATAATCATAGTTGATATTACAAAACATAAATGTTTTGGACAATGACTTGATGTTAGATTTTAGCAAAAAGGGATTGCTTTTTAAAAGTATATGCTGTATATCTGGGGATGCTTTAATAAAAGTAAACAAAAATAACTGAAATTTGAAAGCAAATTTCTTTGAGTGATCTTGAATGAAGTGAGACTGAAGATTAGATACATCGCCTAAACCAAATTGCCATTTCCATTTCAACTTATAAACCCTCCTATCCATTTAATTCCACTAAATGTCCATGGTTGCACAGGATGCCACACAAGTCTGCCGCACACTTGCTACGTAGATCAATTGATCTATCATTTTACTATACACTTAAATTTAAAACCAAGCTAACATCAACTACACTCCGGGCTGGAGGAGGTCAGGTCCTCCACAAACAATACCAAGTGGCCTCGGTACTGGTAGGGCAGACATAGCACGAGCTGCCATGTGAGATATCATAGGTTGAAGGTGGTAGGTTCAAGGTTGTAGGTTGTAGGAAGTAGATTGTAGGTCAGGTTACGTATCTTTGGTTAGGTGTTTTGATTTGGTTAGCAAAATGCATTCTGGGGCATATGGCAGCTCGTGCTACGTCTGCTACCGTGGCATCTCATTTTTCCTATTCAGCTTTTGCTAAGGTAAAATAATGCAAGATGCCTGTCACATGGGGATAATATAAAGAACTATGGAGTACCTATGTAGACTCGAATGAAAATATATAATGAAATGTTTCTTTTATTTGGTCATGTTCACTCAATACTTTTGCCACATTCACCTCATTCTCAATTGCAATTGCAATTTTGTTCCCACATTCATGCCACGATTTCATGAAGGCAGATTTCATAAAGTACTTGAAATGCCTATCACAAGCATGAAGAAATACTCACTTGAACATCATAGGTCCTTTTCTTCATGCTGGCCTCAACAGAAGCCACAATGTATTTGCCATCCTGCAGGGCAATGGATCGGATTTTGCCACCATCCAATGCTCTTTCACCCTTCTCAATCACACTGGACATAGTTTGAAAAAAATCACCTATGGCTGCAACACTAACGAAGGCCATGATAGCTCACACCATGCCCAAACACGTCAAACACAGCCTGCAGCCCAGAAACGTGCAAATGTCCGTAACGTACTATTGTTTTCACGTGGTTTTCACCAAATGTCACATATGCGCCACAAATGCTAACACCATTGTGAATTTAGTAGCCTCACATTTCTTTGGGCTTTTTCAGCCAAATTTCGATGAAACTTGAAGCAAATCAATTTCAGAAATGTTATTCATCCATCTAAGTTTCCAAAGAAATTCCAAATCAGGGTCGGACAATTTTTGAATCGCCACAATACACCTTTCTAGATAATCCCCTATCTCTACAGCATTAGCGCAGTCAGCTGTTGGAACCGTGACGTCACACTTAACAGCCCTATAAGTTTATCTTAACCAGTTCCACGAACGTATTATGCAAACTAAGTGTAATTACGTCAAGGAAGGTACAAAAGCGAGTTGCATCATCAGATTCCTAGCTCCGTTTGGGTTCTGATCCCCGATATAACCGTTTTTAGTGGCTGCAATGTCTAAATCTGAAACTCAAAGAAGCGTTCTAATGACCTATCTCATTGGCATCCATTCAGCAAACTTTTCGCCAAATTTGAAGTAGTTCCACAACTATTTGTCACTATCTAATTGAGTAATATTCTTTTAAAAGTTTTTCTTGGGGTAAATGACGTCCAATTTTAAATTGAAGCTATAGACGCATTCATCAACTATTCGCAAAAAAGCAATGTATGTTACGTAAGGCTAGGTGGTGCTGACTCGTCCTGAGTAGCCGTCCCATTATAAGTTTTGATGTTAAACAATAAGGTAAACCATTCATGATGAATGGAGTGGCTTGTATTGCCACAGGCAAAATTTATGGGGGTGGACAGTGGGAATATCGGCTATTGCTGCCAATGCCATCGGCAGGGTCAATAATATTCACCTGCTACAGCAGATCTGTGTTTGCCGATATGCCACACTGTGGGATGCCTCCTCGTGGCGCCCCCGGAGAGATGGTTGCCTGACGTCGAATGAACTTCACAGAGTTCGCTGCATAATTACTTTTTTAGTTTCTATTTTGTCAGTTTGAAAAGTGGTTATAAGATCAATGCAGAACGTATCATACGATCATAAATGTACGACTTGTATTGCGCTTTATAATGAGACTTCTTGACGCTTGATAATTGTTGATACCCAGCACGTTTCTAGCAGCTAACTGTTGTTAAAAATAACTTTCGCACGCAACCATCTCACTAAACGTATCCCGCTATCTCAAGCTATTCTTAGTGTTTGTTGTATTCGTTACTACACGAAAATAGCATACAGGATATACCTATCCAAAATTATGGCACGTGCCAGGACAGACCGTTGCCGGGCAATACAATAAGACATTTTTATACGGCTACCACATGGTGTGGGTCAGATATGGGGCGATTGAAAAGCACGTGCCACGTGGAAACGTGTTTGATGGGGGAACCTCGTGGAAAATCCGAGGATGCGCTTTGATTGAGGGTGGCTGCTTAAACGGCAGAAATGAATGCATCATACTTGCCGAACGGCGCCATATTTGTCTTAATAGGTCAGTGTTTGCGTTTTGCGGACGGCGTGTGTTTTTTGCGGCGGCGTTTGCGTTTTTTTCGGTGTTTGCGTTTGGTGGCGGGCGGGCGTTTTTCCGTTTTTTTTTTTTTTTTTGGTGTTTGAGTTTCGCGGCGGGCGGCTGTTTTTGCGACGTTTTGCGTTTGGCGGCGGGCGGGCGTTTTTCTGCGGCGGTATTTGCGTTTTTTGCGTTGTTTGTGTTTGGCGGCGGGCGGCGGTTTGCGGCGGGCGGCCGTTTTTTGCGGCGGTTTGAGGCGGGCGGCGTTTTGCGGTTTGCGGCGTTAAGCGATTGCCGGCGGGCGGCCGTTTTTTGCGGCGTTTTGCGGTTGGCGGCGGGCGGCCGTTTTTTGCAGCGTTTTGCGGTTGCCGGCGGGCGGCCGTTTTTTGCGGCGTTTTGCGGTTAGCGGCGGACGGCCGTTTTTTGCGGCGTTTTGCGGTTAGCGGCGGGCGGCCGTTTTTTGCGGCGTTTTGCGGTTGGCAGCGGGCGTTTTTTTGCGGCGGCGGTGTTTGCGTTTTTTGCGGTGTTCGCGTTTTGCGGCGGACGGGCGTTTTTTTGGCGTGCGATGCGGGCGGTTTGATTTTTTGCGGCGTTTTTTGAGTTTTTTTTTCTGCGGTTTTCGGCGGGCGGGCGATTTTTTTTTTTTTGCGGCATTTGCGTTGGCGTTTTGGGCGTGCGTTTTGCGCGTTTTGCGGTGTTTGCGTTTTGCGGCGGGCGGGCGGTTTTTCACAATTAAAGTCCCAACCTTCGGATCCGCAGTGCTGTTCGATAAGCGCTGCCCGGGCCTATCCGAAGGTTGGGACTTTTCAATTAAGAACAATCACTATTCTTTAGAATTGTGATTTTCTATTGAAAATCCCAACCTGAGCTACCTCTCTAGGGGGGTGTTTAGCGTTTCTGCCGCGATTTGGGACATTTTGACTCCCGCAAAAACGGCACGGTAGAATTTCTTGCCATTTTCAGCGTTTGGTCCCCTATGGGGGAGCTACCGGCTGGCATCGGTCGCTTGAAATATAATTAACCTGTTTTGGGGTAATCGGCACGTGCATTTTCCCATAAGGTTAACATGGGGAAAAATTTAAAATGCGATTTGCGCAAAAACTCCACGTTAGAAATGGATTTTTTTTTTAGGATGGGTTCTCGGGTCGGGACTCCACCTGCCGGTGGATGCCGTTTAAAATATAATTATACTTCCTTGGGGTAATCGGGACGGATAGTTACCCCATGTTGAGCCTATGGCGAATTCGAAAAATTATTTTCAAATCGATTTTGCCAAAAATTTCCACGTTAGATTTTGAAAATGTTCCAATATGTTGTGCCCCGGGGTGTCGGCTACCACGTGGTATGGGTCAGATATGGGGCGATTGAAAAGCACGTGCCACGTGCAAACGTGTTTGATGGGGTAACCTCCGGGAAAATCCGACATTGACCAACTGGGGGTCCTATGGCGTGGAAACGACTTCATCTAGCGACACCAAATCAGTGCAGCCGGTGAGCAGATGAGTCCAGCTTGTAGCACTGGTGGTCATGTGGCGCACGTGCTATTGCACGTGCCGTGGCACGGGGTCAATTTTTATTCTTAAATACACTCGCATTGTGAAATGCAAGGAATGGGGGAAATAGCCGTCAGGCCGTCAGTTTTTATGATAGAGTCGATCTGAAAACGGGTATAGACAGAGAATGAACGGTGCTAGAAAACTGCTATCTCGGATTTTTTGTAAAATGAAAAATTTAAAATTCTAGGGAAATTATATATTAGAAAGGTGAAATTTCCCTAAATTTTCCCGTTTTTCAAGTTTAGCCGTCCACTCTTCAGAGACGGTGACACCGGCCGGGGTCATCTTTTACATGCCGATGGCCACTTATATTGGTCATGACGTGGCGTGAGCCGTTAAGCTGTCAAAGGTCTGGCACGTGCCACGTGGCCACGTGTTTGAGCCGAGTACCTCCAACATAATGGTGTTTTGTCCAACTGGTGGCCGTATAACGTGGAAACAGAACCAGCCAAGAACACTAAATTGGGTCAGTCGGTGAGGGGACAGGTCCTGCTTTCATCACCAGTGGTCACGTGGCACACGTGTTCAGCTGGGCTCCTCCTTTGCGGAGATATTTTATCGTGAAATATTCAAACGTCCATAACTTTCTCAAATATGGTCCGATTGGGTTCAAATTTGGTGGATGGATGAATTGTTAAGCGACATGAACGAATGCGCCATGTTTGTTGCAGTGCGCCACGTTTGTCTCAAAGCGCCATTTTTGCCGCAAAGCGCAGAATGTGCGTAACTTTGTCGAACATTGGACGATTAGGATGCGCTGTAATTAAGGGATGGCTGCTTAAACGGCAGATATGAATGCACCACATTTGCCGCAGGGCGCCATATTTGTCTTAATGCGTCAGTGTTTGCGTTTTGCCTACGGCGGGCGCTTTTTTTGCGGCGGTGTTTGCGTTTCTTCGGTGTTTGCGTTTGACGGCGGGCGGCCGTTTTTGCGTTTTTGGCGGTGTTTGCGTTTGGCGGCGGGCGGCCGTTCTTTGCGGCGTTTTGCGGTTGGCGGCGGGCGTGCGGGCGTTGCGGGCGTTTTTTGCGGCGGTGTTTGCGTTTTTTGCGGTTTTTGTGTTTGGCGGCGGGCGGGCGGGCGATGCGGGTGTTTTTGCGGTGTTTGCGTTTGGCGGCGGACGGCCGTTTCAGCGGCGGTTTGCGGTGGGCGGCCGTTTTTTTGCGGCGTTTTGCGGTTTGCGGCGGGCGGCCGTTTTTTTTGCGGCGTTGTTGCGGTTTGCGGCGGGCGGCCGTTTTTTGCGGCGTTTTTTGTGGTTTGCGGCGGGCGGCCGTTTTTTGCGGCGTTTTGCGGTTGCCGGCGGCCGGGCGTTATTTGCGTTGTTGCGGTTTGCGGCGGGCGGCCGTTTTTTTGCGCCGTTTCGCCGTTGGCGGCGGGCGATGCGGGCGTTTTTTGAGGCGGCGGTGTTTGCGTTTTTTTTCGGTGTTTGCGTTTTGCGGCGGACGGGCTTTTTTGCGGCGTTTTTTGCGTTTTTTCTGCGGTTTTCGGCGGGCGGGCGATTGTTTTTTTTTTTGCGAAGTTTGCGTTTGCGTTTTAGGCGTGCGTTTTGCGGTGTTTGCGTTTGGCGGCGGGCGGGCGGTTTTTCACAATTAAAGTCCCAACCTTCGGATCCGCAGTGCTGTTCGACAAGCGCTGCCCGGGCCTATCCGAAGGTTGGGACTTTTCAATTAGACAATCACTATTCTTTAGAATTGTGATTTTCTATTGAAAATCCCAACCTGAGCTACCTCTCTAGGGGGGTGTTTAGCGTTTCTGCCGCGATTTTGGTCATTTTGATCCCCGCGAAAACGGCTCGATAGATTTTCTTGCCATTTTCAGCGTTTGGTCCCGTATCGGGGAGCTACCAGCTGGCATCGGTCGCTTGAAATATAATTAACCCGTTTTGGGGTAATCGGCACGTGCATTTTCCCATAGGGTTAACATGGGGAAAAATTTAAAATGCGATTTGCGCAAAAACTCCACGTTAGAAATGAATTATATTTTTAGGGTCGAATCTCGGGCCGGGACCCCACCTCATGATGGTAATTATTTAAAATATAATTAACAAAATTTTGGGTAATCGTTAAGGACAGTTACCCCATGCTGAGCCTATGGCGATTTCAAAAAATTATTTTCAAATCGATTTTGCAAAAAAATTCCACGTTAGATTTTGAAAAAGTTCCAATATGTTGTGCCCCGGGGTGTCGGCTA